AGCTGGGATTAAAGGCATTGCGAAGACTCCAAGGAAAGTTGTGGCAGGAGTTGTGGAAGGTCTGGAGGCCGTAACGAATAACACACTTCAGTAAAACATACACCGAAACGTTTCTTTCATGCTATGTTCAAATTACAAGCCTCATTGCTGAATGCTGATTTTTTTTGCTCAGATCAGATCTTTTTAAATTGATGGTTTACATTTATGTAGGTAAACGACACAAATCTGTCATTAATGTGGTTGAATCTGTGTCTTGAAAAAAGCTGCATGTGCACATCTTAATCAGTAACATCACATGAATGAAGCATGTGATGTCTGTCATGAACTAATCAGCAGCACAAGCCTTCGTCACAAAGATAATTTTGCTCTGAGCAGCTCTCAGCTATTCAGTGTTAGAGCAAGTCAAGGAGAGAAAGGATCAGATCCAGCATTTACTGGTGTTAATGCTGAGCAATGGTGAACAGTGGAGAAAAAAATAAAAATCTGCTCAGGGCATTCTTATTAAGGTCGCATGACCATGAATCGAATATGTATGCAATCTAGGACTACATATGAAAGGCTATGTTCACATCACCAGTGTGAACATGTGACACAGATCTGTTTTTTCTTTTAGCTGGGTGATTTCTGTGCATGCGCCATCGTTCAGCATTTCCTCTGGCAGCAGTGCATAACCTGAAGTTCGTGCCAGAAAATGGTGCAAAATCAATGAGAGAGCTGAGAGCAAGTTATCTTTGTGATGAAGACTTGTTCTACTGGTTAGTTTGTTGTTCATGAAGCACATGGTTTACTCATGCGACATTATTGATTTGAGTCACGTTTGAGTCACTTACCTACATCAGTGTTAAAGATCAGACCTCAACAAAAAATCAGAATCAAGCAATGAGACTTGTAATGTGAACGTAGCCAAAGTGGGTCACATCTGTTTTAAAAAGATCCGATTTGTATGTTCAGACAGCTCTGATTTGTCAACCACAATTTTTTTTTTTGCCTTAATATCACAAATTTCACAGCTATGCTGATACGCAAATCCAATCTTTTCAAATTAGATCTGAGCTGCTTTTATATGTGGTACTGGATCGGATCCAAATCCAATTCCATCTGATCTCGATGAGAACGCACAAATCAGAGTTCACGTTTTTTGTCACTATGTATGCTCCATCATTCATTGTTATTGTTGAAGCAGCACTGAACCTGAAGTTAGTGCCAGGAAATAGTGCAAAAGCATCTGACCCTTCTTCATCTTCATCTTGCTCTAATAATGAAAAGCTGAGAGCTCATCAAAGCAAATTATGTATGTGACGAAGATTCATTCTTCTGCTTAGTAAGTTTGTTGTTCATGATGCATGTGGTTCATTCACGTAAAGTTATTGATTAGGATGTGCGCATGCAGGTCATTTCAGGATGCAGGCTTGTTCACATTCATTTACACAAATGAAAACCATGGAGTTGGACTAGGTAAATAAAGCATACTGTATTTGAACACTGCTGTTGTTAATTTACAGAAATAGAATGAAGGAATATAAATTATTTAGTGTGAGTCATGTTGTCTCTAAACATGGCAAAGAACTGCCTACTTTAACAGGAAGGGGCTGTTTAGCTGACATGCAAAATAATCAACCACAGGCTACTGTTTTTGTGTGATGTGTAAGAGAGAGCGATTTTCAAAATGGGGCTACAACAAAACCACACCCCGTGGAAACACAGCGCTGTCAAAGATGAGGATACTAGCTTACTAGCTTCGAAATACTTGAAAATTATTAACAGTGTTCTTTAATGATGTGATGCCGTGATCATCATATCTTGTCATTGTGCAGAGAGGGTAACTGTTTGCAGAACTGCAGTTCTTATTGGACAGATTAAAACCAGTGTGTGGAAATGCATGAATCAAAAAAGCTGTGATGAGGATGTAATGATTTCCTCACTGAATATGTTTGAGATTTCATGACATTTATTTTCATGAAAAATAGAAATAATATTATATATAGATAGATAGATACAAGTTCTAAGACAGAACTTTGGGAACTATGTGAAAATATCACTGCAAACGTCTTTGAAAAACTTAAAGCAAGTGTCGCGAAAAAGGACATCTGTAATAAAGCCAAATAGTGAACACATTAAATAATGAACAATGTGATATTACATTTACTTGTTTTGTTCACTTTTCTGTTAAATACATGTCTTCTGCAGTTTTTTTGTCTAATGTTGAAAACTGAATTATAACAATACCTTGCAATAAAACTAATTTCACTGCCAAAGAACTGTTAAATTTAATGGTTCATTTCTGTTTTTAAGGTTTAATGCATGTAAATAAAACATGCACACACTGTATTTTAACACTCCTGTTTATTATGTACAGAAATATGATGTAAATTCCAAAAAACAAGTGATCACAATTATTTCACAGTTTATTTTAATGTTTATTACTGTCAGTATTATGGTAAAATACTGGGTATGATCTACATTCAGTATCACAAATTAAAGATTAATAATCTTGTTAACAAGTTATTAACTACTCAGTATTTACATTCATAAAGTATTTATTATGCATTGGTTATCATTTAGTTACTTAGTATGTAATCCATACTTGAGTACAGTGTTAGTCTATTTTGTTTTTAGTTCATAGCTTAATTGCTCCTTAACTGTGCACTAATTGCTGCCTATATTACACTAATAATGAACTGAAAAGTGTATTTACTCATTTAAAGAAGCAACACAAGAACTAATTAGTACTTGTGTCCTTATAGCTGTCTTTACATTTTTACCATTAATTACTCCTTACTACATTTTACTGAACCATCAATTACTGCTCTCTGTGTCCCTCCAAGTGAAGTGACACTATTCATTACTAATATAGTAATTATACTACAAACTCATGATTTGGAGAAGCTTACACTCTCTTCACTGTGAATCACAGTAGAAACTTAAGTGGACATACTGGTCAGGCCTAAAACACAGGCTGCTTATTCAGAGACTTATATGGACGGTTCCTCTTATAAGCAACAGAATGAAATATGACATATTGACAGAATGTGTCGTACTATTATCTGAAATTTTAAGCTGCCAAAGGGGTTCTTTGTGGAGCGAAACTATTGAAACCCACTCTGGGATTCCTAAAGATCCTTCAATTGGATGAGTTGTGCAAGTGTGAGGGATTTGTTTTAGTTTAATGTAAAACCTGAATTTGTATTCTTGTTTGGTTTAATATGTAAATCATTTAGATTATACGTTCATTTCGAATGAATGTATATTTCCTACTTTACTTGAGGGCACACAAAAACAAGGAAAGAGCAATTAAGATATCAGTAACAAGCCAGGTCTTAATTATGAGTTTGTGGTATAAATAGTAGTAAAAATTATAACTTCACTGTGGAGGGACACAAAGTATCTAATTTGTGACATTTAATGTACCCAAAATGAATGTTAGAATAACTAGTTGAACTAGTAAAACTGTTGAATTACAGTAAAAGGTAGGATTTCTAAGAAATGAAATGACTGCAATTTTACAGTGAATTTTTTACCTTTATTTAACCAAGGTAATCAAATTGAGATTAAAAGTCTCATTTACCAGTGAGCCCTGACCAAGAAGGCAGCACACACCAAATAATCAATGAAGAAACAACACCAGCAAAAGAAACAAAATCAAAACCAGATTAAAAACAAGAACAGAAAAAATAGAATGATACAGTTCTTTATCACTTATCTTAAAACCACTAAAGGAAATAATTCTTCCAATTTAAAATGTTTTTGCAGATCATTCCATACAGATGGAGCACTGTAACTAAAAGCTGCCTCACCATATTCAGACTGTATTATCAGAACATCCAGCTGAATGTACCTGCTAGAATGTAAATTGTACCAAGACTTGTTTGTTGATATGAATGCAAACAAATATGAAGGAAGCTGACCAATCATTGCTTTATAGACAAAAAATATCCAATGAATTTGTCTTGGCACTGAAAGTGAAGTTATTTAGCAGGTTGCTCAATAACAACTGTTAATTAACAGGACTTTTTACCTTTTGTAAAAGTACTGATTGGCATTTATTGGCTGTTTTGATCAGAAATTAAGTACATGAAGTTTGATTTCTGACTTCTGCACAGTACTGTAACTTGGAGGCACATCTGGCTCATAGACTGTACAGTGATTATTAGGTGTGAAGAAAATGTTAAATATTTCCTTCATTTTTTTTTTTTCACAACAAAGAAATCTAAATCCATTAACTTGAGCACATAGACACTCAAGAACAACAAAATTAAGGATATTATAATGAATGATTTCTGTTATATATATATATATATATATATATATATATATATATTATATATATATATATATTAGAATTGAACATAATTACAATTGCAAATAATACTTAAACAATTGCAACAATTTGTTTTCAACATTATTAAAACAAAAATGTTTCGCTCATTCTGTAGGGCATTGCATATCGCTGCTGTTGGAACAAAACCTTGTATCTCCAAAACGATAACTTTACAGGAGAAGGAAGTAACATACTTTACATTAAATGTAAGTCAATGGAACCAGAATTTTTTCCAAGTCATGTTGGGCTGTTTGTTGTGGTCCATTTATTCTGAAATTTACACACAATATAAATGGCAACAGGCGTTTTCAAGTTATGTCAAAAACCGAAAAAATGAAACGAGATTTTGTTCTGACAGCAGCGATATGCCTTATATTCACCTGATATTTCCTGAACACACAATATTTGGCAAGCGTTGCTGTTTTTATGCATGATGCCTAGTTAAGTGTCTTTTTTTGTAACTTTATCATGAATGAGCTTTGCCCCTGCTCCCACTGCAGCTACACTTCCAGCAGCCACTGCTGCAACTGGCAGCACTACTGCAACTTCTGTAGCAAGCAACACACCTCCTGCTACTATTCCTGCTCCACCTACTACCATTCCCACTCCCAGTGCAGCATCTTTGGCTATTTTCTTCATCCAGATCTTCCTTTGGATCTTTTGAAACATCTCGTTAGTGTAGTGCTTTCCTCCGTTCATTCTCACCATAGCATCTATCTTCTCCAGCAGCTCTGTGACCTGACTGCGGTTCCAACTATCTTCATTGTTGAACGCATGGTATCTTCCACCACAGTCGTCAATCAGGTTCTGAAGATAACTGCTTTTGTCGATAAAGGCATCCAACGGTTTGCCCTTCAACTGGTCAGCATTGGTAAAGAGAACGATAGTGTAGGCCGAGGCATCTTCTCCAAAGTTATCCTTAATCCATTCCACAGCGTTCTTCTCCTCCTCTGTGAACCTCACAGCGAGACTAATGACCAGCAGGAACACATGAAGGCCAGGAAGTGACTGACGGATGCAGTCTTTTATTTGTGAGGCTATCTCTTTACCCTTCGCTGACCCAAAGGTCCCAGGGGTGTCAATCACCTTGATTCTCCTACCGCCATAGTCCCGACTCTCGGTTCTGCACATTTCTGTAACTGGTGTAGGTGAAGGCTCTGATAAGAATACATTTTCACCCAGGATGGTGTTCCCAGTCGTACTCTTCCCTGCTCCAGCTTTTCCCAGAAGAATGATTCTCAATTCAGGGTCTGTGAACCAACAAATATCAAATGAACATGCAGTCAGTGATTCCGAAATGCTGCTGAAGTGTTATAGCCCAGTTGTGAGCTCATCTCATGCTGTATCTCTTCATAATGGTGATTCAGTGCTAAAAGGCTTTGATCTGGCACAATTGTGTGCAAAAGTGTTGGCACCCCTAGTCAGATGGCATGTTTCATTGATTTTCTAAGTGAAAATATGTCAAAGCATCTTCTACAGACAATACTTCTCCATGACTCAGAAACAGTTGAACTTATTGACATATCAGCAAGTAACCCCAAACTCCACTCAGTATCCTGATGTGATATCTGTTCTGATTCTCCATTCTGTTTTGGTCCAGCACTTCTTTTCATGTTGATGATCAGACCACCACCATTCATCAAAACGTTTGACAACTATTTAAAACTATTTAAAAGCCAGTTTTCCTGCCTATCAGAGTTTTAGCACTCAGTATGGACCTAAGAAGAGGATAGGAATTCAGTCTACCAATGTCTGAATTCTGAAATTGTGCAGTAAAATTAGCAGAAAAATTTAGATCTGTTCCCAGTAGAGGATGTGTTCACTTATTTTCATTATGAAAATCAACAAAACTTGGCATTTTACCAGGGGCGACCAAACCTTTTCATATGACTGTATACTTTTTTCATATGACTGCCTACTTTGACAGGAAGGGGCCGTTTAGCTGACTGTTTTTGCCTGATATGTAGGAGAAAGTGATTTTCAAAATGGGGCTACAACAAAACCACACCCCGTGGAAACAAAGCGCTGTCAAAGATGAGGATACTGGAAACAAGGAAAGAGCCAAAATGAATGTTAGAATAACTAGTTGAACTAGTGAAACTGTTGAATTACAGTAAAAGGTAGCATTTCTAAGAAATTAAATGACTGCAATTTTACAGTGAATTTTCCTTTTACCTTTATTTAACCAAGGTAATCAAATTGAGAACAAAAGTCTCATTTACAAGTGAGCCCTGACCAAGAAGGCAGCACACCAAACAAAATCAAAACCAGATTAAAAACAAGAACAGAAAAAATAGAATGATACAGTTCTTTATCACTTATCTTAAAACCACTAAAGGAAATAATTCACTGTAGCACTGTAACTAAAAGCTGCCTCACCATATTCAGACTGTATTATCAGAACATCCAGCTGAATGTACCTGTTAGAATGTAAATTGTACCAAGACTTGTTTGTTGATATGAATGCAAACAAATATGAAGGAAGCTGACCAATCATTGCTTTATAGACAAAAAATATCCAATGAATTTGTCTTGGCACTGAAAGTGAAGTTATTTAGCAGGTTGCTCAATAACGCCTGTTAATTAACAGGACTTTTTACCTTTCGTAAAAGTACTGATTGGCATTTATTGGCTGTTTTGATCAGAAATTAAGTACATGAAGTTTGATTTCTGACTTCTGCACAGTACTGTAACTTGGAGGCACATCTGGCTCATAGACTGTACAGTGATTATTAGGTGTGAAGAAAATGTTAAATATTTCCTTCATTTTTTTTTAACAGCAAAGAAATCTAAATCCATTACCTTGAGCACATAGACACTCAAGAACAATAAAATTAAGGATATTATAATGAATGATTTCTGTAATATATATATATATATATATATATATATATATATATATTATATATATATATATATTAGAATTGAACATAATTACAATTGCAAATAATACTTAAACAATTGCAACAATTTGTTTTCAACATTATTAAAACAAAAATGTTTCGCTCATTCTGTAGGGCATTGCATATCGCTGCTGTTGGAACAAAACCTTGTATCTCCAAAACGATAACTTTACAGGAGAAGGAAAAAACATTTTACATTAAATGTAAGTCAATGGAACCAGAATTTTTTCCAAGTCATGTTGGGCTGTTTGTTGTGGTCCATTTATTCTGAAATTTACACACAATGTAAATGGTAACAGTCAATTTCAAGTTATGTCAAAAACCGAAAAAATGAAACGAGGTTTTGTTCCGACAGCAGCGATATGCCTTATATTCACCTGATATGTCCTGAACACACAATATTTGGCAAGCGTTGCTGTTTTTATGCATGATGCCTAGTTAAGTATCTTTTTTTGTAACTTTATCATGAATGAGCTTTGCCCCTGCTCCCACTGCAGCTACACTTCCAGCAGCCACTGCTGCAACTGGCAGCACTACTGCAACTTCTGTAGCAAGAAACACACCTCCTGCTACTATTCCTGCTCCACCTACTACCATTCCCGCTCCCAGTGCAGCATCTTTGGCTATTTTCTTCATCCAGATCTTCCTTTGGATCTTTTGAAACATCTCGTTAGTGTAGTGCTTTCCTCCGTTTTCCTCCACCATAGCATTTATCTTCTCCAGCAGCTCTGTGACCTGATTGCGGTTCCAACTATCTTCATTGTTGAACGCATGGTATCTTCCACCACAGTCGTCAATCAGGTTCTGAAGATAATTGCTTTTGTCGATAAAGGCATCCAATGGTTTGCCCTTCAACTGGTCAGCATTGGTAAAGAGAACGATAGTGTAGGCTGAGGCATCTTCTCCAAAGTTATCCTTAATCCATTCCACAGCGTTCTTCTCCTCCTCTGTGAACCTCACAGCGAGACTAATGACCAGCAGGAACACATGAGGGCCAGGAAGTGACTGACGGATGCAGTCTTTTATTTGAGACTTTTATCTCTTTACCCTTCGCTGACCCAAAGGTCCCAGGGGTGTCAATCACCTTGATTCTCCTACCGCCATAGTCCCGACTCTCGGTTCTGCACGTTTCTGTAACTGGTGTAGGTGAAGGCTCTGATAAGAATACATTTTCACCCAGGATGGTGTTCCCAGTCGTACTCTTCCCTGCTCCAGCTTTTCCCAGAAGAATGATTCTCAACTCAGGTTCTGTGAACCAACAAATATCAAATGAACATGCAGTCAGTGATTCCAAAAGAGCTCAGCCACTTTGCATTGAAGTCCCTGTAGTTACTGAATAATAAGCCTTAGAATGTAATAAACCTGGGCTTTTATTGGGTTGATACTAATTCTAAAATACTAAAATTCTGTTGATTGTTGTTCAAAATAGCAATATTATGCAAGAGATTGTCAGTGTTTCATCAGCAAGATTTCTAAAACTGTCATTGCTTGTGCATTTGTGACCGTTCAATACCACACCAGAGGGGGCACCCAAGAGCAATGAAGCTTGCACAACACAAACTAACACAGCTTCTGGGGCAACAATGAGCTTTGCTGGAACAAATTTGTATGAACAGTCAGTCATACAATACGCAGTTATTGCACATGGTGACCAAGAAGGTACAGGCGGAGGGTAAAGCCGAAGGGACTTAAGCCTCCTGATTGCAGGCAGAATGCATCCCTAGTATATTGGGCCTGCTCGGAAAGGGAAGTGTTTAGGTCATTGTTAGTGCAGCACAGTAGAATGAATAATCTGTTTCGGGTGCATCTGCTGTGACTGTGAGCATGGGCTGATTTTGAGGAATGAGTGTATGAATTTTGCCTAAAATAAACATCTCGAAAGCAAGAGATAAAACACTGCATGCCCACACATCTCCAGTGTTTACTGTAGATATGATGATGGCATCTGATAAAATCAACCACAAGAGATTATGGGGTCACATGGTAAACAAAGCTACTGTATCAGACAGAATAGACAAAGTGTGAGCCAATCAGCTGTGTTGTCCACTGTCCACTGTATTTACATGCATCTAGACATCTATCAAGCATCACTCCACAGACACTTTGTGTGGAAGGTGCTCAAGGGTAAAAAAAAGGGGATAAAAACTTAAATTTAATTTACTGTAATCCCTCAATGAAAAGAGACCATTTAATCACGTTTCAGATAAAACTAATATACTGTTCACAGACAGCCAAAAACACCAATAGGACAATCTATGCAGGGATTGGGGGCAGTCATGGGCTGGAGGTTAGGGAACCAGCCCTGTGACCAGAAGGTCAATGGTTCGATCCCCTGAGCTGACAGTATGTGATTAAAGTGCCCCTGAGCAAGACACCTAACCCCCAACTGCTCCCCGGGCACTGTGGATAGGGTTGCTCACCACTCCGGGTAAGTGTACTCACTGTCCCCTAGTGTGTGTGCATTCATTAGTGTGTATGTGGTGTTTTACTGCATGGATGGGTTAAATGCGGAGGTAAAATTTCCCCATTGTGGGACTAATAAGGGTCACTTATTCTAATCTAATTTGAACCTCAGTTGCCAGCATGCAACACTATGACCTTCCTTGCCATGATATTAAATCACAATGTAGTATTTAGTTATACTTCAATTTAAGGGCTCCACAGAGCCTCATATAAATCTCTGTTTTTTGCCATAATGAAGACATAGCAAGCAGCCAGTTAGCAACGCCATTTACTGCCAACATTGTTGTTCAAAATAACCAAATTCTCAAATGTGACCCTTTCCTAAAATGATTATCAGCATGTTATAGTGCTGTGGTGATGCCTGAGTGGAGCCTTGCTGAAACAGATCTTGAGGAATGGCCATATGAACTCAATTATAATACATATCAATCAACAGGACATTTTACAGTCTGTGGGCAAAGGGGCAGGGGCTCTATCCCCACCTGGGATCTATCTGTGCACATGCCTGGATTGTCAAAAAAGTCTAAATCTAAAAGATTTGTCAGTAGCCAATTCCTTTCAATGACCTCCACTGAAGACCAGTTAATATGTATTACTGGAAGCATGAATGCAAAATGATGTACTTTTACGTATGACATTTTATATGGATATATCAAGAAATGTTGGATTGGTTTTCCTAATTTCAATGTGCTCATTTAAGTGTAACTGTATTACATATGAACATATAAATACACCTTCAGTTAGCTATTTATTCATAAAGAAAAGGAAGAAAAAATCTTGAATAGGACAATAGAAGCAATCGTGTTTCATACTCACCAGATGAGTCATTTGCTGCATCATAGAGGCGTACTGTAAGGGAAAAAAAAATAATAAAACAACTTTTGGTTAAGTAGGAACCAGGAAAAACATTTGTTTACAGAAGAAACACAGTTTTCAGTGCACATAAATTGCAGTGTTATTTAACAATAGTGTAAACTTGTAATAAGCTTTGTATTAGGGAATCAGAATAATAGTTACAACAAGCTTTCAAAATTAAAAGCCAAATATTCAGGATCAAACCTGAGGTTGTTTATCCAGAAGTATATAAAACAACTTTTAAATTGTGGAGGACAAAAAACTTTCTTACAAAGTGACTATATGCTTTTGCCCTAATATATGCTCTCAGCTGTATTATATATGTCCTAAGAAAAACAAGTATCTCCAAAAAAGTAATTTTACAGGAGAAGACAGAAACTCTCTTATCTTTTAATGTATGTTAGTATGAAAAAAAGTGTTTTTTAAAAGTTATTTCGTGATTTTTCAAGTGCATTTCTATTGGTCCATTCATCAAGACATTTCAGACAATGTGAAGGACAACAGTTGTGTTAGAATTATGTAGAGAAAACTGACAAAAATGGAGATACATGGTTTTCTTTGGACAGGGACAATATGTTTCCATATCCTTTTCAAGGAGCAAAAACAGTACATAATGCATGCAATACTTGCTTTTATGTAAAAACTGGAGACATGGCTTTCATTAAACATCTCCAACAAGCATAGAGGTAAGTAAAATGGCTAATCAATTTGAGGACGTTCACAAAAAAAAAATGAGACCAGAGTATAAAAAGCATTAAATGAATACAATATAGCCACAAGTGGCAATGATAGGGGTCCAAGCTCCCACCTTTCTCAGACTAAAAGTACTTGCTTGACATCTACGATTACATGTATCTGCAATTTAGAGTTAAAAACTCTTGTTATTATACAATAATAACTAGGTTAGAATTTACAAGGAATGCCTCAGTAAAGCACTGCATTTACAGTACACTGTCTGAAAAATTCTGGTTTTCTTACTTTCATAATTAAACAAGTCAGATTTGTTGAGTGACAGTTGGTGATAGTCAATTATATTTTAATAATAGTCAATTATATTTCCAAAAATACAATGCAAAAAATCCAAACTCACTTGTTGAACAAGCAAAACAAAATAAGATGAAAATCTTAGAAAGAAACTATAGAAATCAACACTGGCTGCATTGATATGAACAGTACACTTCATATAACTTACTCATTTTTATCCACTTTTATTATACAGGAAGATTAACTATGTTATGTACTCACCATAATCATTCATTGTTCTGTAGCTGTAGATCACCTCTAATTACTGCTACCTGTGTTACAGCTTATGCTGCTGAATGTAGGGTTTTCCTGTAGAAAGCTTTTTAGCTTCGAAATTATAAATCTATGAGGCAATTATGAGTTCAAGGAAGACATTTCTGGCTGAACTTTAATACTGCTTCGATGGAGGATGTAAAATTGCTGACATTTTCATCTGTCAGCAAAACTACAGGTCATGAACCTAAACACTGACCTGAATTACTGAATTCAAAATGCAGAACTGAAAGGAAAAATGCTGATGGATCAATTCCATCCAAAATCAATCCAGTAAAAGTGAATATATCCATGTATTATCATGTATTTGTCGAAAAGTACTGACTCGTATGCATATTAACAAAAAAAAACAACACACATTTACGTTTAATAAAGTGTTCTCAGAACAGTGTACTGACCACCTCAGAGTGCAGATCATAAACATCCTGAGAACCAGAAAAATGAATTTTGTGAGTGTTGAAAAATATTCCTTCAGATATGTTTGAGAAACTAAAAAGTAAGTCACCTAAAAAAAAAGGGGGTAATATAGAATAAAGAGTTAAAAATAATGAGTTTATTTATCAATTCATTGGGAAATTTTATCCAGGTTCTAACTATCACTATTTTATTCGGGCTCTAACTATCACTATTGGCTTCTCCTTGGCAGAGTAGTGGTAGTTACATTAAAATATTAAATTAAACTGTAGAAAATGTAACCTGAATAGTTTATAATAAATGTGATGCATCAAAACATATACTAAGCTGCCAAATGATGTGGGAGAAACAACATTAAGAACAACAGTGCCATCTTATGGATGTTTAATTGTCAGTGTCCATTTCAGAAGTATCTAAATACAGATTATAACTAATTGAATAGTACTAAAAGTTTGATCCTAGCTTTTTTATGATGGATGAAACTACTTTGAAAACAGCACTACTGAAAACATAAACTATGCTTTAAAAAGTATGATATCACACTGTCTGAATCATAATTCATAAGCACCATTGTTATTGCATAATGCTGCAGAACTGCAATTGCATAATGCTGCAATGCTGAACAAGCCCAGACATTTCTGACTGAGGCATAGTGGCTGCGCAGGGCATCACGTATAACCAGAGCTTTAGCACACCTGTACCTGCACAGCAGAGCACTAGAACCGTAACATCTGGTGATTACAATTCTTATCAAATGTTCTGCTCTTTTACATTCAGTCAAAATAAAATGATGGTGAATATGTTATGATGATAAGATGAAAGGAATGAGTGCAGTTTTCACCAGAACTGTGAAAGATAACATGATGCCATAACATGATTAGAATTCTTCTTGATGTGCTAAGCAACAAGCTGTTAAAGCCCTTTCAAACAGGGCTGTGTTTATGGTATTTACTTAGAAAGAGCCGATTCTTCACAATTCACAATTTCTAATGCAGTTGCTGAGAGGGAGCAAACAAAATAAAGTAACTAAATATTAAAGTAAAATAGCAGAAATAATAAAATTATATTATAATAAATAATAAACTAATGCTCCAATCAGCAACCACTCTTTTAACCTCTTAAATGAGCCAAACCTACAGTTTAGAATAATTTAGCCAGCTCGCATTGATTTCCATGCACTGTTGTATCCAAATTTTTCCACACCCTCAGTCACGTGACACGTTTTGTTGATTGTCTAAGTGGAAGAAAGTTTACACATACTCTACAGGGAACAAACCTAAATATGAGTATTTTTCCACTAACTTCCACTAACAGTTTGAATTGAGATATTATTGAAAAAAAAAAAGTATATATGTACCATAACTTTTGCACAGACCATATTTTATTTATTTGTTATTTTATGTTAAATTCAGCAAATAAACAGTTATTTTGCATTAAAATGTGCACAAATGTGTTCTCTGTAGAGGATGTGTGAACCCCTTAACAATCCAGGCTCATTACATACAAAGGCTAATTAGTCAGTCACTACTGGGACTTCAATGCAAACTAAAGGAGCTATTCTTACTATGGACCCACTGGCAGGCCCATGGCTTGTTAAGGAGTTTTTCACTTGTAATTTAACACACAACTTGACTGGAAGAGTAACTGTGGTTACTCAATAATGTGCTTTAGGATGGGGGTTCTCAACCATTTCCACCCCAAGACCCACCTGTTTGTAACTGCAAAGCATAGCAGGCCACAGAACAACTAAAATCAACTTCTCTTTTCAAGTTTTCTTTTTTGTAAACCTGTAAACTAGAGCTTGGAAACATTTAGATTTCAGTTCAATCACAGAAAACAAAATTTGCGCATTGTTAAAAAAAAACTAAACAAAAAAAAATAAAACAAAGACAAAAACATCCCAGTTTCACTGGAAACACTCTTGTGGATCCAACAGGAGTAACTGTTTGGTCTGGAGAGTCTCTTGAGGTTTGAGGGTTTTAGCGCTCAGTGGGCTTTTGCATTAGCATTATCATGATCAACAATAATAATAAACCTTGCCTGCACCTACAGCTGTGCAGTTTCAAACTGATGATGTTTAATTAGCTGCGACTGTGATGCTCTTATTTACACGTCTCTGTTAATATTTATAGTGGTTATAATTTGGAAATGTCTGATTCTTCAATTTTTTAATTATTAAGTTAAACTTTTTCTACTTATGTTTTCATGACTTAAAGTGTCATTACTGGCCCACTACGAACTGCTGCCTCCCCCTGAGTACAGGCCTGCGGAGCACTAGAGGGTGCTTTATGGCCCACCGGTGGTCCACAGCCCACAGATTCAGAAACCCTGCCTCAGGAAGTCATAGGAGTAGTGCAGATATTAAAATATTGTGTAAATAATGCATGCCATATTTATACAGCAAATAATGTGCATTTTATACTTCTTTTGCAGTTTTAAAAATGTTCCCACAAATACATCTTAAGTCCCAAGGAAAGAACACAAACAGGTTTTATGAACTGTGTTTTTATAAAGGATCATTTCAGCAGGAGTTTATCTAGATTTTGCTGAAATGTTTCCTAACAAGAAAATTCTCTACTGCTATCACGTCTTGGCTGGTTCAAACAAAACATGGGTTCTTTTTACCAGACCCAGCTCACCAGCTCTTTATCTGGGGGTAAAGTGATTCTCCTGATGTTTCCTGATGCTGTTTGGTTGCAATATGGTGGTAGCTTATGATTGTACATTCAATAACACCCATAAGGCATTGTAGAATAAAGATTTTAGATTGATCAGATATATTGATCACTGTGTCTCGCTATGGGTTTCTGTAACAACATGTTGGATTGAGAAATAAGTGGTATTTTCATGTTTTCATTCTCGAGAAACTTATCTTCATAAGGATAATTGGACCATCTAAATGGTCTTCTCTGGAACTTTTTTCTGTTTTGCTGTAAGTGAAGAGTTCAGCTGGAGTACTTTTATCCCTCTCCACTACACAGAGCATATATAAATAGTGCTAGCACTAAATAGATCTCCTTTGCTGCCCCGGGAGGAAACAGGTAGCGGTCAGACATCTCAATATCCACTAATCCTAGCAGGTATGTATGATGGGTTCCAACATTTGAATTGTTTTTCTGCAGTCTTGTCTTTGCGATTTGCAATATGATGTTTACTCAAAAAGAGTTCTTTTGAGTGATGTCATGGAACCACTTTTGGTTCCTTAGAGAACCTTTTAATGGATGGATTTAAAACATTTTTATTGAGCTTTGAGTGTGAGGAACTTTTTAAAGTTGGAAGAACCTCCACACAATGCAAAGGGTTTAAACTAAACAAAGAACTGAACATCTAAGCTAAGAATCATCGAGGAACCTTTTATTATTAAGAGTGTTTGGAGGTCACTTTGCAGGTTGTGTTATTGGTGAGTAGATCAGTATGTTTTCTACCATCATCCATAGTTTTAGCTTAGAGTTTAGCAAGTCAGAAACTTGTGAAACTTGTGAATGTTGATGCAGGTGCTCCAGTACTTAAATGGCTAACATATCTTTCAACAACTTACCCTACAGTTGTTCTTCACTTTGGAAACACTGTATCTGGACAGGACTGCACAACATACACAGTGGGTGAAACCAGCTCAACACTGCAGAAGACAGACTGTCATCTGTGAGCATTCTAAATTTGTTCTAGCATTTACATGTATGTACACAGTGCATTCATATGCTATCTAGTTAGCGTGATTTAAAGGGTTCCTGTTCTATCAATGTAAGATAAATATATTTATATAACACTTTTAACAACAATCACATTCTACATCCTTAGTGTGTTTTCCCAAGAACCATCACTCAGTTCCTTATAGTTAAATTAGTCCACTGGAGACCTTTTCTTAAAGAATCTATAACACTTAAATGCTAGGAAGTATCCTTCCAGTCTTTTAATGCTCCAGCTGAATGCCATCTCCAAAAATAGATGTTACTCTGGCTATGCTATTATGCTATTATGCTATTATGCTGTGTTAATAGCATAATTAGCTGCACTAGTTTCTTTTCAGTGGCTCTTCAGAACCATTCCATCTGTTTCTCTGCATACTTTGTTAGCCCCTTTTACACTGTTCTTCAAAGGTCAGGACCCCCACGGACCCTCACAGAGCAGGTACTATTTGGGTGGTGGATCATTCTCAGCACTGCAGTAACACTGATGTGGTGGTGGTGTGTTAGTGTGTGTTGTGCTGATGTGAGTGGATCAGACACAGCAATGCAGCTGGAGTTTTTAAACACTGTGTCCACTCACTGTCCACTCTATTAGACACTCCTACCTTGTCAGTCCACCTTGTAGATGTAAAGTCAGAGACGATAGCTCATCTGCTGCTGCACAGTTTGTGTTGGTCATCCTCTAGTCCTTCGTCAGTGGTCACAGGACACTGTTGGCTGGATATTTTTGGTTGGTGGACTATTCTTAGTCCAGCAGTGACACTGAGGTGTTTAAAAACTCCAGCAGCACTGCTGTGTCTGATCCACTCAGACCAGCGCAACACACACTAACACACCACCACCACATCAGCGTTACTGCAGTGTTGAGAATGATCCACCACCCAAATAGTACCTGCTCTGTGAGGGTCAACAGTGGCCAAAAAGGGCATGATTTTCATGTCATGCTATGACAGTTAATTA